TTGTATATATGTATGTACGTATGTATGTATGTATGTTTGTATATATATATATATATACGAATTATATATTGTGTTTGTTATATGTATATCTTTACATATATGTATACGTATTCATGGATTCTTCAAAGTTTATATTTAGGTGTATGCAAATATATATATATATATGCACGTGAGGATGTAAGCGTTGACTCTTACACCAATAAGTGTAAGCTTCGTGGGTGTGTGTCAAGTACTTTGTATTGGTATATGTATGTACTATTCACTAGATTCATAGATTGTTACTACGTGTTCTTGTACGTTCACATATGTATGCAATTTTTTCAAGATTACACACGTATCAACTGACGAGTGTGAGTGTTTGGTCTGGTTTATGTATACGTGAATGAAAAACTTATGCATAAGACCTCTTCCGCATTATCGCGAAGAATAGGAGAAACATCTAGTTGTATCTTTAGAGATCCCTTGAAGCTTAGTCCATTATCGACCACTAGTAAGTTACTTCCATCTGCTGACAATGCACGCATACACATGTTTCAGAATCTTGTTAAGCGTCTCCACGCGAGTCAAGTCGGCGGTTCTTGTGCATCGTGATCGAACCGGGCGCACTGCGATTCACTTGGCGGCCAGACATGGACATGTTGAGTGTATTGCAACATTGGTGGCACACGGATGTAGTCTTGATATTCAGGATGTCGAGTCCGGATGGTCTGCATTGCAAATGTAAGACTTATAAAATGTCGGACAATTGACAATTCGTCATCGCGAAAGAAAAAAACAATCTCGGTAGTATCCTAATGTATAACTGTATGTAGTTTGTTTCACGGCGTCGGCCTTCTCGTAATTATAAGTCAAGTTCTTAACTCGATGACACGAACCTTTTTTATTGAATTGTGCTGAAGACTTCTTTTCGTACTTGTATTTCCGATATAAAGAGCTGTCTACTTCGGGCACCTGTCGGCTGTTGTATGCCTACTGTCATTGGGCGCGGATCTCTACCAAGTAGACAATGATGGAGTGAGTCCTTTGGACGCTGTGACGGCGAGGACATATCTCGGGGTCCCCTCACACTCGGTGCCTGGGATATTGTATGATCGACACAGAGAGAGTAATACTAAAAGTAAGCCAACTGGTACTCAGTCTTCGGCTAGGATTCAGAGTGGTATACAATAAGAGCAAGTGAGATTGCCGATGCACTGTCAAGGGGATGTTTTGTTGGCGAATATTCCATGAATTGAGCCGATGCCAGTCTCAATGTACACGTGATTTATTTCAGAAACTTTGTTTGATACCAATTCTGTCATTCAAGGGGCTTACAATCGACGTCGGAAAACGAGTATAGCACTGGACTACTCAGATGAAGATTCTGTGGGTAGCGAAGCTGAGGACGAGGGAGAAGACGCTGATGGGCAAGCACACCCCTTAAACAACCATTATGAAGTCGATAGGGGTGATCGATCTCGGATTTACGGTGAATTGTACACCTGGGGTTCTAATGCGACTTATACATTGGGAAGGCCGAACACATCGAAACATAATTATAATAATCCAGAACGCATATCGGTCCGGTACGAAGGTATGTGTAGCAACGGGTTCGGATATATATTTTTTATAGACTGATTCTATCCCTGTTCTATTTTATTTTTGTGCTATAGTGATATATTCAAGAAATCACCCATTTCGCGCAGACGGAAGACTGATTGACGATGACCGTGTATGTAACTATACGGGTGAGCGCTTGGTGGAATCGCAAGTAATCCAGGTCGCAACGGGGAAGTTTCATTCTGCATGTATCGATCGATCGGGTAACCTATTCACTTGGGGGTATGCGAGTCGGTTCGCACTTGGACACGGCGATGATGTCACTCAGCTCACGCCCAAGCAAATCAACATGACTCCCAAAGTGAAAATAATTGAAGTATGTGGACATAGTATGTTTAACCGATGATCTAGTAATCCGCTAGCATGCTTGTAGATATTTGGCTCATCTATGTCGCTCATGTTCATTTGGTATACGCCAAGTCAAGTAAAACAAAAATCGTCTTTGTTTTGCACTCATCATTCTGTTATCTTATGTTTTCCAGATTTGTGTCGCTGATGACCATATGGTTGCGCTGAGCTCTGAGAGACAAGTATATACATGCGGTACGAATTCCCATCACCAATTAGGACATTATGGCTTAGAAATAGACGATGTTGTGCCAGAACTTCGTATAGTGAAGAGCTTCAAAAACACGAGTTTCGAAGATGGGGTCATTTCGATCGCGGCGGGACCTATGCACACTGTATGTGCTACATTGGAGAGTGTGTACACTTTCGGCAGGAACCTGGGCCATCTTGGGCACCCCGCAACAATCAATCAGCGCACTTCCATCCTTACTGCTCCGGGTGCTCAGATTCAAACGGTGTTAACCGACGACTTCCAGACGACACCTCGTATCGTCTCATTTCTCAGTCGGAAAACCACCGTTGTACAGGTGTCAGCAGGAGCCTCTTTATGTACGGCTTGTCTTACGAAGGATGGCCAGGTGTATGTGATGGCGGGCTATGCTGTCCAATGTATAAGTATCGCTCCAGCCCCGATACCAAGTGTTGGGGGTGATTGTGAGGGTGTTTCAAAGTATTGGCTTGAATCTCCGAGCAGGCAAAGACCGACTGTCGTTAAGGTGAGCTGATTTGAAAAGGCTGAGTATTACTGGAATAGATTGTCTATCGTTCGGCCATACCGTTTCCCTAACCGATTAGTCCATGTAAACTCTTGTCTGTCTATTACACAACTTTGTGCATTATGGTAAGATTTCATTTAACTACGGTGTCTTGTACTCGTTCAGGCTGCCCTATATAATCTGATTGTAGGACATACATGTCGAAGAATTATATCAATAATTTTTCTTTCATTCAACCTGTCGGCGAAACTTTGCCCTTCTATTGCTTTTAGGTATGCGTGGGTGTGGACAATAATGCTGTGGCTCTATCAAATCTACATGCTCTGTATATGGTGTACATATATCCTGCCCTCTCCCCTAAGACATGGCGCTACACACCGGTGATATGTCACGGACTCGGGGCAAAAGGTATGGGTCGTCGCATCATCGATATTGCGATAGGACGAGCTACTTTGATTGTCACGACTCAGAACGGTCATGTGTTCAAGGGCAACTTGCCCGCTACCCCCGTATACAATGCTAAAAGGAGACTAGATGTGGTACAAGTCGAGTTCAAACGTATTTTGGGGTTGCATCGCGCCACATCGGTGTCGTGCAGTCACAGAGGCGACAGTTACTCTGCACTCTGCGAGACAAGTTTCAGACCAGGAAGTACCGATCTTGAGAGAGCATTCGCTGATCGCAATAAATACAACGCTCATCAAGCAGACACATCCAGCGACAACAAAACTGGCACTACAAGTAAAAATATCGGTCTTGTTGGAAGTTTACCGGCTAGCAATTTAGATATCGCTTTAATAGCAAGTGATGACGTTGTGGATGTGGAGGCAATGCCAACAGCCGACGAAAGTGCCTCAAAAGCAATTCAAGGTATTGTCAATCTGTCAGTTAATAACTGTATTAATGAGATGAGTGAGCGCTCGATTTCGGAGACACCGGATCCCATGAGAGTGTTGCAAGACCCCATCCCCCCGCCTGCCGCCATAGCGGAAGGTTCAAGCTCCTCAATTGATGTTGCTGATGTTGCTTTCTTTTGTATGGGTCGAAGTGGTAAGGCACACCCTACACCTGTGCTTGCACACAGACGTTTACTAGCTAAACATTCTGAGTTCTTCCGAACATTGCACCTCTGGGACCGCCTGAGCACCAATAGGATGGTCTCATTAATACCGTCGGCACCAATCCGCCGAGACGTACTTGCGCGGGCGATTGAAAAGTTCTATATAGAGGAAGGCTGGGCTTGTCCCAATACCGATAACAATCCTCCAGAAACAAGCGGGAAAGATAGCAGCCATGACAATGGCCACGACATGGGTCCACAGGAGAGGCCGATGGCACCCTCATCGCAACACGCTGAGCAACTGTACTATCTCATGTGCACAGCCGACGAGTATGGGCTGAGTGCGCTGCAGAGAGAGTGTGAGTTGACCATCTGCTCACCCAGATACATTGACGTGCGGAATGTGTGCGATGTGTACCATGGTGCTACACTTATCAATGCACGAAGGCTGACTGACTACTGCATAGCATTCGTACAGCTGCATCTGGATATACTTCTGAGTCGTTCCGATGTGTTCTACGAGGCCGTCATTGATGATACGGACGAGGGCATGCTATCAGATCAGTGGAATACGCTCGTAGCACACTTGCGGGTCTCCTTGACAGCAAGTAATGCACAACACCCAGTTGTGCATTCGGACGATGCACCAGTGTGGGCACCTCGACGTACGAGAGTGCGTACCATTAGCCGTAACGGCAAAATGGACAACAAGAAATCTTCTTCCGCGCACAAGACTGTCGCCCCCGACCCGGCGCCTCAAGGCACTTCGAGCTACAGCGAAAATGTCAATAACCCTGCTCGACATAATGAGGAATGTGCAGAGGGAACTCCCAGTACTGATTCTGCAGTGTTCGACTCACCTGGCGAGACACATGGCAACTCTGCTGGGATAAGCAAAGGCAGAACGCGCTGGCTACCTCTAGACGTTTTCGGGTCAAATATACAGAAGGATGTGGAAATTGTGAAGCCCACTCCTTCTACCTCCACCGTCGTAGAGGGAACTCCGGCCACGAACCCTTGGGTTCAGAAAGAGACACAAATTAATGAGCGAGCACCCCAAGACAAAGGCACTGTGGCACCACGCAATAGTCTGCGCGAAATATTGTCCACAGAGTCTGATGGTCAGCGAAGAAAATCAAGTGGCGATGGGACAACACAGGCGCCCCACGGCAACAAGCCACTGGTGGAAGTGAAGAAGATGTCTCAGCGTGAGAGGAAGAAGGTATGTGCCCCATATACGTGATCTTGGCAATGTGTGCATTTTTTGAATTGATTTTATTCTGCACGTATATCTCCCACTTGAGATACCAATGTCGTTGCTTCAGCCTTTTAAACTCCTTCACAATTTTCAAACCGATTTACAAAATTATAACGTACTCATCGGGCGTAATTTTACTATATCCCGGATAATAGGCACTTTATGTTGCTGCGCTGAAGGAGGCTGAGGCGCCAATTATTAGTAAAGTTCAATCCAAGCCAGTATGGGTGACGGCAGATGTTGTCCCAACTGATGACGATACATTTTTGATTGATAAATTACCACAAGCTATCAGTCTGCGTGACGTGCAAATGGAAGAACTGACCGCGGCGAAACAACAAGCGCTGTCCCAACGGCGATCGTTGAACAAAATAGACGTGCCTAAGTATGCGCATGTGATATCTAAATATATTGAGTTGCATGTTCCAATACACTCTGCTATCATGATACAGTAATTGCGCGCAGATATTCCATCGATCTATAGTGGGAGTGCCTCGTCAGCCGTTATCTTTGGAACAGGCTCAATATTCGCGTGCAGTTATTTGCTACATAGTTACTCGAAACTGGTAGTTGCCGAGTTCTAACCATTCTTCCACATGTACTATACCAGGCAAACACGGAAATCGGGTTGGGACATGACGGCAGCGACAGGATCGGGCGCTTCACAAAGCCAGCCTACACAACATTCAGCGTATGTCAAGAAAGCTGATTATAGTAGCCTTAAGAATATTCAGCAGCAACAGGAAGATACTAGGTGGAAACGTGCTCATACCAGAACAAGCTTAGACTGTGTCATCATCGAAGACCAGGCTATAGCGGAGCTCACGGCAATATATAACAGTATGGGAATAACTGTTCGCGTGGAACGGGTGGTGGATGACACCGCGTCATTTCAAGAAAGTACAAATTTTGGTATAAGTAGCACGAAAAGTCAAGCAAAGACGACTCCCTGGGTGAAACACTAGCAGCTTTGAAGCTCGTGGAGTACAAATAATATAATAGAGTATGAAGTGGTAGTATAGCGCCACTTCAAGATCAATAGGAATCAGATCATAGATTAGAATAAACTATAGTATTGAAGATCACCATTGGCGACTATTCTCTATCTATGCCAGAGGACTTGAGATCACCGATCCAAAAACTGGTCAACCACTGCCAAGTTGCACTGGACGAGATGTGATCTCCAACACGCAAAGTACACCAGAGATAAAGCTTATCTTGATTTTCTCCGTTGTTTTCTGGAGCAGTAGAGGTCAGTCACTCTGACAATACTTCTGCCTGCACACCTTCAGATGTCTTTTATTTAATTATCCGAATTCCACACGCCTGATTGGCTATTTTTGCCGCACCATATCAGAAGGACAGGACAGGAAGTTGCTTAGTTTTTTTTCGCTGCCTCTCTAATTGATCTTTGGCATTTTCACGGAAAGCACTTTACAACTTTTAGATACTACTCCAACTTAAAATGTATAATGAGCCAAGAAATGTTGCGAAAATTTGAATTGAACATAATTGATAACAAGAGGACCCCCTTTTCATTCTGATAGCAATGACAGAATCGACAACCCTTGACAACAAAAGCAGGAAGAATTTGAATCTATGTTGGGATGGTTTTATTGTGAGCGTTGTCCGCTACATCACCCACTAAACTATATTCATGGCATTTCACATCGGCACGTCGTAACATTACAGGCACGATGAATTGTTGGTCCCTGACTCAACACTGTATGAGCCTGGAATTGTAGAGTTCCTCCTTTGTAACTCATTGTGGTTGGGTTATCTGCTACTGCGTACCCAGGAGTGGTTCTCTTAGTCCCCAGTGTGTAGTACTTATCTTACCCGACACGATGCTACTCTTCCTCATTTGCCCACAAGGACAACTTCGCGTCAGACGGATTGTCACTATGGTCAAAACATTATCTTCACCTTTTCAATGGCATTACGCGACGACAACAGGTCCGGCTCCTTCCTCGTACTTATTTTGATCATCCCTGTTTAAGACGAGCGAACAAAAAAAGATGTCGGCGACAGATAAAATGAAATTCCATCATCAATCGTAATCATGATGAAAACTATGTTCATACGCAGCACGAGTCATTCGATCTTTAACACAAAATTTATATAAAAACACCCGACCCAGATAAAACTTACGTTAGGGTGATTGATTCTACATTCAGCAGCAAAGAGTTGGAGTCTAAGTATACACGGTTAGCCGAGTTCGCGATTGTGTGCGCGACCTTGATAGCAGCGTCGATCTTTCGCAGTTGCAAGAAACCAGGGTTCTCCTTCACCTATTCAGCAAATATTGGAAGTGCAGCAGAATAGTTTAGAGCTCAGTATCGATGAAAAATACTTTAGCGGAATTGGTGCAACGCGACTGTGCAGGAGAGATCGCCAATACAGAAAGTAAAGCAGCTCTAAACTCGAAAGTAACAATGCCAAATAAACCCACAACAGCGATGAGTTGAACGAGGAAAACAACATAGCCAACTACGAGCCTGATTTAGAACATCATTTTACATAGAAAACCCAATGGACAACGGTAATTCAAATACATGTACAGGAGTGTACGAACAAACAGACAGCTTAAGTCCAACATACACATGCTGCGAGATCAGTATGCTCACTGCATACCCATCACACTTTAGAGCAACCGATCGACGTACCTGCTGACCGATAAGCTCGGCAGACTTGGCAACTCCCTCAGCCTTGACAATGGCCTGTGCACGCTCCTGCTTGGCATTCTCCACCGTGAACTGTGCACGCTGGGCTTCCTGCTGGGCAACCTGTTTGGCTTCAACGGCGGCTGTGTACTCTGAACCGAAACTCAAGTCAGTGATAGACACATCGTCGAGGATCATGTAGAAGTCCTTTGCACGTGCGGTTAATTGCGAACGGATAAGCTTGGACACACTCTCACGCTGGGTAATCAGCTGCGAGGCATTGAACTGGGCGACGACACTCTTGAGCACTTCATTGCAAATGGACGGCAAGACACGCTCGTCATAATCGTGTCCGATTTCGCGAGTGATGCTGGGCAATTCGTTGACTATGGGTCGGTACAGAACTCGCAAACTGATGTTCACGGTCTGAAGATCTGTAGTGGTTCAGCAACAAAGCGGTTAGACATACAGGAGTTAACCACGGAAAAGCATATCAAAACTATGTTGAAAATAGCCGGGCGGGCGAAAAGTGCACGCAAAACGCACCCACATCACAATGCGAGGACATATTGATACGAAACATGGTGGTCATCAGAGAGTTCATAATCAACATCACCTATCGTAAAAGTAGGTTTAATGCGTGGTGCATGACTTTTCATCTTCATTTTACACCAGTATCACAAAAGCTTGAAAAGACATTCAGACAATCTTTGTTTCACGATATATAGTATAAAAAAAATGCTTGAGAGCAACATAGTATGGACATTTAACACCCAGATCTCCGGAGACTTTTGCAGACACCGCCTGTGACTATTGCTACAAATATATATAAAGAACGCGGAAATCAACCACGACATCAAACTACAATATTATAAACCTATGAATAGTGAGAGCAGATAGATCTTCAGAATAGGTCAACATAGAAATGACAAAACGACATACAATCAAACATCACCAAATTTTGAAAAGAATCCATGTACACGTTCGTTTACTTAAAATATTTAAAATACAATAGATATTGACGACACATGGCAGGAGTGAAAACTAAGTACAAGCCATTCCACCCTATTCATCCAATCGATTTGCATTGACGATCCCCTGCACCGTGAAACTAGACTCGAATCCCAGCGAATAAACAAAGAGTTCGTTTTATAGAGGCAAGTCTATCAAGCACAACACTACCCCAATCAGATAAAAGATAGTTGCTTACATGCGGAATAAAAGACACTCAAATCTACAACAACAAAAATACGGATTCCGGTCACGTAACAAAATTCCCTTCGACATGTAGTAGCAGTACACTATGAGCACCTCAAGATTGATAACCAACGCGTATCATATTGTATATACACAAACATACCTTTGGAACCGGTGGGTGAAGCAATACGACGGGGGCGGGATCGGACCTCGTAGATAATAGGCGTCTGGAACCAGGGCACCATGAAGTGCATACCTTCTGCGTACACCTGATCACCCACACCGCCAATTCGGTTGAAGAGGACGGCACGGTGACCACCATCAACTGCAGAGAGAATGAAAATGAATCTTAAATATATGGCAAATATATAGATTTTCTAGTTTTATATTACGGGTAAGCGTCAGTTGCTTCCCTTGCAAAAACCCCAGTCTGCCAAACTACCAAATATGCAACATCACTTGCGCCTTCCCAGCCCATTTCCTGACTACTGATTTTTTTTTTCGAAACTTATTGAATACTCTTAGTCTCGATACTACACAACAAATACAAAACCTACAAACACAAACTTGCACGAACAGTCGTCGACAGAGCTGAGCCTATTACTCATACAAAGCGTTATTAAATAAGCTACGAGAAAATCCCTGTTCAGAAACGATCAAACTACAACCAAGTACGAAAGGGCCACACACAGATGTTATGCGGCACACAGATGTTATGCGGCACACAGATGCACTTTTTAAATTGAAAATAGAGATTCGTGACAGGCAATGTCCATGGTTCGCCACAGATTGAAAGGACATGTCCACTATACACAAACATCTGTATTGTATATGTTGGGATGATTCTGCAAACATTAATATTTACGAGCGTGTATAGTATAGTCTGAATACTATTCGTACGCGGGAATCAACATGTGCTACCCCGTATAAACACGCAAAAGTTATATGGAACAGCGTTTATCGTGATGTCCATCGTATTTTCAATGAGCCTTCCAACGCTATAATAAATACAAGAACCATTCTCATATAACTGCAGCACACTAGATATACAAACTACATCACAGATCTGAATCAGAAACGCAATTATATAATATGAAGACAGAAATATGTTCAGGCGAACACCTAGCGCATATAGACAGATATATAACAATCCGACACAATGCAAACACAAAAAGCGAGTAGATGCGTACTACGGAGCATATAGCCCTGTCACGATTATAGAGTTTTATGTCTCCCGGCAATAAAGTTATTGAACGCCTAAAATGTGACCAACAGCATGAAAGAAATTGGTGCGAAACTCCATTTCGCAGTGCAACTGTAGGTAGACCACAATTAGCACATTTATGTGGAGAGTATATTTCACGATAGGTACATAATTTAACATCGAAAGGTTCTTATAAACAACATGTAATTGGTTGTTTCAAAACCGTTGCTCGCAATGTATCTATGAGAGCGCACAAACACACCTCAATTAGGGCATACCTGTGTAGAAAGAGTTGGACAACCCATAGGCGCCTAGGGCAGCACCACCCAGGAGCTTAATGCCCAGACTGAGCCTTTGTACGTTGGCTGCTTGGAAATTCGCGGCCATGTTGAATATGGGTTTGTGTGCTTACCACTTGATCGTATACAAGCTTCTGTGTGTGGGGTAGTATTCCTTCCAATATTATGTTATGTATTATTATTGCGGATTTTCCAACACTTGGTGCGATTGACGAGAGTTGTTGTATACGCTTTGTCGACAATATTTTTTTAATTTGTGATCACTTCAATGATTTCATTGGCATCACCTGTGACACCACGCGAGCAAAGTATATTGCGGGATTTTCCGGGATTGGGTTATATACCTATTTTTGGGTTTTCATGGGTTTGGGCCTTTGTAACCCTAAAATTTGATGAGGCTGATATGTAGTTATGTACAAGTTTACAGCTTCATTCAAACTGAAACTACGCACTATTTTACATTTCTAAATAATATTATAAAATATACGCCGTCTACGCGTAACTTCACATATATTTATTATCGTGGAGCAAAGGAGACGGCAATGTTCGTTCCTTTTATCACATACTATGGAAGCATCACTGTAAGGTTGAAGAGATACTGGTACCATCACCATCCAATACAATTCTTTCATATTTTGTAGTGAAAACACCGATGCTGATATGTTGTTACTGGCAGTAGTTGTGCTAATATAAGAAGTATTCGTGGCTGATCCGCACCGCGCAAACATCAAGGAAGATTCTATCTTTTGTCTGTAGTAGTTTGGATCTATTTAGGTATGATCGTTACTAAGTTCGAAAACACCTCCGCAATGAACTCCAATATTCTTCACCATATCCTGAAATATGCGTTGATATTACTAGCGTATACCTCAGACATTACTCGAAATTTTTCACAAGACGCTCGCGCTATATTTACAATGCTTCAAAAAGAATTTCAACGTCAGCCATCTGATAGATGGAAGAAAGAGTATCAATTTAATATATATATATATTTATTTATTTATTTATATTTATATTC